AATCTCAACGAGAGTTTCGATAATTCGCAAGAACCGACTCTCGGGGTCGACGATTCGATTCCTCGACGCCGATCGGGGGCCCGAGGCGCGACAATTGGAGTCGCGGTCGCGTTTCCGGCCAGCGCCGAGAGGCGTGGGCCGTTGACGTCCGCGGAGCACGTGGGTGCCGTGCTCGTCTTTCTCAAATAATTTTCATTGGTTTGCATCTCATTCGACACGTTCCATTTACCGTCCCCCGCGTTCGCGACCGACTCGAGTAGAGGCGTGCCGGCCGAGCGGCGCGAAGCGAGTCGTTCCGGCGGAGTTTCGGAATGTCGTTATCGACTTCGCTCGAATATCGCGACTCGATCGGACTCGGCCGGGAAAACGGAGGAAAATTTCCCTCGACCGCGAGAGCGCTATTTTTCTTGGGAATATTTTTGACGGAGGAGGGAAGGAAGAGGAAGAAGTCGGCGAAGCGCAGGAGGGTCCGGAAAGTCGATCCTCCGGCTCTATCGCGAGACAGAAATCGACCTTCCAGGTTCCGCGGGGCGGGGAGGAGGGTGGGAGAGAAATACATCCGCTATTGTTCCTCGTTTAGCGGGGGTGGAACCCCCAGTTGTAAGAGTGACCGATTCGCCGGTGTGGGGGCGGACAAGCCGAAGACGAAGTTTTGCGTGGGTCATGGTCGATCGGTAATAACGAGCGAGCCCACGCAAAAAAGGAGACGCGGAGCCTTCTCGAGGAGATGGCACGTCTCGCACCCGCTCGAAAGCCCTCGAGGTTTTTCGTTCCCTCGTCGCTTTCCTTGTCTTTGTCGCAATCAGGGGATGTTTGGACTCACTCGCCGTTGAATCGAAATTTCCAGGGCCGAAGAGGGGACGCCACTTTCGACGCGGCTCCGGAGTCTGGGATCGACGCTTCGGGTCAAGGCCCGATTTTTGGAGAAACGGTTTAAATCACGGCTTATCCGAGGAAGATCGCGTAGGAGCTTCTTTCGAGAAGGGGTTCTCGCCGCGAGCGGACAGGTGAGCCGGCGGAAAGAGTCCCTCCATATCTCACCGCGCGAAAACGTTCCCACGTGGTGGGTGATGCGTAAGACTTAACGCTGACACCTCGTCGTTCGGGAAGGACATTTTTTATTTTTAAGGAATATTTATCGCCTTACTATGCGCGGACGTTAAGAGCTTATCCTTAACGATCCGACGGAATATAATAAATACGCGAGTTTAAAGCGCGTGGGAAATCCTTCGGCGTCTTGGACCGCGGCTCGAACTCCCGCCGGAGGTACGAAATTAACGACGCAGTGGAAACATTAATTAACCGAGAAATCCGAGCGATAACGAGCGCCGAGGAAAATCCACGAGAACCGCGGCGTCGACGCGGTAAATTCGTGGCCGGATGGGACGGCAGAGAATTCGGTTCGTCGCGAGAGATCGACTCCATTCGACTCGACGGTAGTGGACGCGTCGCGCGGTCCTCTCCTCTGCCTGCATTTATCGAGGAATCGCCCCAATGGAAAATACCGAGCTCGTCTCTTTTGGAACCGGTGACTCGACAAATTTGGAGGCGGACGAGATGGCGCGGAACGCCATATCTGGCTCGTCTCGTCGGTTTGAGTCCCCGTCTGGACGCGAAGCGGCGACGATACCGAAAGTAAGAGCGACTTTACTCGTCTAGTCGCACTCCGGACGCGCGTTTTCACCGGCGGCGACGATCGGTCGGTCGACGTCCGCGGAATCTATCGCGTCCGATTCTTCGAGGTTCCGCGAGGCGGGCGCCTCTGGAGTCGATTTTGAGAAGGCGATCGGCGACGACTCGTTCGACCGGTCCTCGCTCGTTTTTCAAGCTTGCGGCTTTATTTCGGATTTCTGCGCGGCACAGCTGGTCGATCGGTAACACGAGTCCGATCCGGACCCTCGACGGCTCCACCGTTAATTCCAAGATACCCAGGATCAAGGAGATCGGGTGTCCCGATGGACTTTAATCCCCGATGTCCTCTCGGAACCGGGAGGATCGGATGTCCTCGTCGGCCGTTGGATCCAAATTTCCGAGGACTCGAGAGATCGAATGTCATCGGAGCCGCACGGTTCTTGCATTCGCGGGCGATAAAGTCTTTTTTACCGGCAAATTACCGGTTCCCGGGCGAGGCGTAACGCGCGGAACGACTCGTCCGCCAAACCTTGGGTCGTCGCGGTCGTTGGGTCGACCCGTCCCGGATTCGCCGGGCCCGCCGGAAGATCTCGAGGTGCCGGCGAGGACGGGCCCGTCTCGCGCGGCAGGGAGAAGGTGCATCCTCCATTGACGCGCGAAAAAGGACAAGCGACTCGGGTCCATTGACAGCGGGCCCACGCGGGTGTGCACGCGCGCGCTGCCACGCTCACCCACCCGCTGTCACGCGTATGCGTATGCATTATTTATTGCGACACGCCCACGCAACGCCGCGCAGTTATTCACAATGCGGCCGGGCGTTTTTCAACAGGTCCGCATGAATGGGGAGGCAAGGGTTGGCCGTCGCGTCGCCAAACCCGCTAGGCGCCTCAAGGATGCCGGGTCGTTGCGTGTCTCCTTATTTTAGAGACCCGAGACTCCGCCGAGAGGCGGAGGGAAAAGTCCCGGAGAAACGAGGGAATTAAACCGTATCGTCGCGTGCTTCTCGTGGGCGACGCTTCTTAAATTATTGGCCGCGGAATCGTCGCGATAAAACGCCGAAGCGGGCACGCGAGGACGAGCGCGGCTCCTCCGGAAAATTGGCACACCGAGGAACGTCCTCCTTTGGCGCGCGAATCTTTGTTACGCAAACGAGCGCGTTTTTCACCTCCGAACGACCGTCTCGTTCCCGAAATGGATGGTAATCTTGCCGGGGCGGTTCGCGATCAAACGACCGGACGGTCGCCGCGTCCGACTTCGGTCGCCGATGTTCCGACGCGCGTTTTGAGAGCGACTCGACGTCGATAAATGTCGGCACCGCTTAAACGCCAACGACTCCCAGGTGGAAACGCGTTAAACGAACGCGAGCGAAACCACCAGGGACCCCGCGTTTTCCGTTCGTCTCTCGGAGCCGGCGCGCGTCGCGTCGTGTGCGACCGAGAGGGATCCGACGCTTCGATAACCGCGTACCGAGGAGTCGCGGCTGCGGACCGGTCTTCCGAAAAGAGATCGGAACTGGAATCGGTGATAAATCCGTCAGCTATCTCGAGCGGGGATCTCCTCGGCCGGCGTCCCGCCCTCGTCGTCCGACGAGATCCGCTCCGGCAGGCATTTCGACTCGAGGAAAAAAGAACAGCGAACGTCCGGCGATTACACGGTACCGCCGAGTAATAGAGTGATTATTTATTACGAGCCTCGTCATTCGGAAGACGGACCACCCCGTCGCGGTGGCGGCGCATTAATTACCGAATTACCGCGATCGGGCCAGGCCCCGGGAAAATGACGGTAATACCGTCTTATTACCGTACGCCCGCGGAGTTAATGACTCCGCGGCCGGGGGGCCGCGGATATCCGAGGATCGGTTATTCGCGGACAAATTGCCGGCGAGCGTTTACCTTGCGCTCCGGAGCGCTCTCGTCCGTGAACACGCAACTCCTACCCCACGCGGGTAATTTCCTCGATCGCGATAATTGCCAATCGGCAGGCTCGCCGCGACGATTTCGACGATGTCGACGATGTCGACGCAGCCGACGCAGCCGAGACAGACGCCTGCCACGAGCGAATTCGCGAGCTGCGTTTACTCGTCTTCTCCTCGGTTCTCGTCGCATCCACCCTCGGAATAAATATTTACTGGAAGCCCGAGCATCGTGGGAAGACTCGAAACGTGACGCGGGAGGACCGTGCCCGAGAACGATCCTAAATTAGTGGCGTCTGGGAAGATTTGCAAAACTGGTTCCCTTTCGCGGAGCTCCTCTTTGATCGACTCCTTTGAACGCTTCGCTCCGCTCGTCCAGGACCCCGCGACCTTTCGACGACTTTTTTCCTTCTTTTGAATTTCCCTTCCAAAAGTCGTTCTCGCTTAATTTCGCACCTCTCGCTTTGCATGCGACAGGACGCCAAACGCCGTCCACGACTTCGACGCGAGGGCTTCCCGTATCGTGGTTGTAACTTTTGTATCTAAGTTTTCCCTCGCTTACCTTCGAGTTTTATCGCCCTTTATTGGATTTCAGAATTTCAAAAAGGCCCTCTCCCGGAAGCTACGCAACTTCGGCCTCTCGAATTTCTTCGAAGATTGACGGTGAACAAACTAATTCCCTTCTTCTGGTAGAACACGTTACGCGGACAAATGATGCTGCGCCCATTGCTTTCCTTCGCGCAGCGATATTTCTCGTCCGAACAACGTAACGAGGCCTTTCTCGAACACGCGATCGTTCTCGGAAGCTCGTACTTGAAATTCAAAGAGTGCCTCGAGACAGCCACGAACCGCGATTCCCGGGAATCATTGACAGAGAGTCCATTTGTCTTCATTCGCGTAATTGTTACGACGCCATAATATATTGCGTTTACCGGATTAGAAAGTTTCTACGCGTGCTCGGCGGCCGGAGAGACCATTTTTCCCGTTGCTTGACAAAAGACACCATTATTCTCGCATCGATCCTCCTTAGATCGTGCTCAGGTTTCTTCTGCCTGCACCAATCCCCCGGGATTAGAGAACCGTGAATGAAACGGGCATTACGCGGCCCGTAAGTCGCAAGACGAGAACTTGGCCTAAAGTTACGCTCTCCGTCCTTGATCAAGTTAAGGTACGCTTTCAGGCGGCAGTTTCTATATGGCACTTGTTGTGCCGTTGATTACGGCAATTACGGTTAATCCTCTTAACCGATACGGTAGCAATTACCAGCCGCCTGGCACAACGAACCATGACCGATATAAACGTCGCGTACCGGGGACCGCGCCGATTATAACGAACCTTGTTAACCAACGTTGATACAACTAATCGCCGTCCCAGGGGTGGAAAGTAAAATGCAATTCTTCGGGAAGGTTTTCATGAATTAACGCGATGTCGCCGTAGCGAATAAATATTGACTCACCCTTAACGAAGGGACGACGCTGTTGAATCGCGGGGCTGGAATGCACGAATGCGGCGTGGAGGATGAGCAAGTACCACATGCTCGATGCCGTTCGATGTACAGCAAGCTTTCGCGTTTTCAAAGAAATAAAAATACCAGGGAACATCGGCAACATCCAGCGAGGGACCGTTCGCGAGAGAGTCCGCTTCGGTCCTGCCTTCCTATTTGCCGGCCCCTTTCATCTGCAACACGAACAACGTTTCAATTCGCATCTCCGGTTGGCCAAAAAGTATCCGAAACCGTGAAAATTCTCATCCCGGCTTCGATAAAAAAATTCGACGCGAGAAGCGGCTGTCGGGGTGATTTTTGATTCGGCGAGGATATCGTCGGTGCCGTAAGCAAAGTGCATTCGCCGATGCTGCCGGTCGTCATGGTTCGCCAATTTGCGCTTACCGGCCATGCGCACATAGTAATCAGAACTCGTTCGAGCATGCCGTTCAATGATTGGAGCTGACAACCGTAGGGGAATTTGTTCCCTTAGCAAACCACCGATCTCCGCGGAATGTGACTTACTGCCTTCTCGGGGCAAACCAAGCATAACGATCGCACGCGCCCTCCCGATGTGCCACCTCGCCTAGGGCCCAAAACCGGAGATCGAGAAGACGCGAGAAAAAAAAATTCAAAACCACCCTTAGCGGTAAAGCTGCAGGAAATTGTCAGCCAACCGTAAAAAAAAAAAAAAAAGAATAGGGACTCAACATTTCGTTCACCCAAGGTAAAACCCGCCAATTGCTCAAAGAGACATCAAAATACGCCCGTCTAGGATTCGCCGGTCCCTGCTCATGTTTATGAAACGACGTTCTTAACCCGTTGCTGAATCACTTAAGGGTGATCTACATTCGGGCGATTCCCGTTGTAATTGCGACTCCGTACTTATAGTTGCCGCGAACAATGGACGTTCCTTCGGCGACGCGATGCCATTTGCGATCCGCGAGGCGTCGAGAAAACGCTTCCTATTATATGGATCCAGGACCCACTCCCTCGCGCCCGCGGACCGATCGGGGAAGTCTCGTATCGATAAGTAGCATCGCGAGAACGGTAGACGAGGACATTACGTTGAATAAACAGGAGCATCTCGGCGCGCGTTCGGCTCGATTGGCGGGCCAAGTCGGAGCCTTCTTCGCGGCGCGTTTTGCATAAATAAATCGGGAAGATCGAGAGCCGCATAGCTCGCCGGTAACCGGAGCGAGCTCGAGACGTCGTAAAAGTATGAAATAACGGATCGATCGTAAGTGGATCCCCGCATTAGACGGTGCCGCGTTGTCAGGTAAATATTTATGCATGATTTATGTCGAGTACTTTGGCATGCAAGGAAGGCGCCGTTGCCCCCTGATCCCCCGCTCTTCGAAGGAGATACTTGACGCGTCGTCCCGGGAAATTCTCTGCGCGTTAACTTTAATCTCGGAGTTGTCCCGCGTTGCGCAATTTATATCGGTCGAGGCCGATCGCTTCGCGTTTGACTCCGGATTTCCTCCTCGCCTCCCAAAACTGCGAACGAAAACGATAACGAAAAATTGCTCGGTTCGATGGTCGAGATCGCATCGGGAGGCACGCTTCGATATTAATCCCGGAATATCTCGCCGCACGCGACGCCACTCGAATTGGACGACTTCGGATTGCAGTCATCTCGATTTTATGTCCCGATAATAATCGACCCGGCTCATCCTTCGGTCCAGTAGTTTCGGTAGAAAATTCTCACCGGGAGAACCCGACGATTTCACCTCTGCAACGCTCGATGTCCACGTTCGACGCTTCATTGGAAAATGGAGGGTCGGGAATTAAAAATCGTTCGCGGCGCGTTTTCGCTTACATGCGCGGTACGGGTCTTCGGTTCGCGGATACGACGTAGAAGCGACTTCCCATCGATACGGGGACACGATTGAAAATGCCGGTTTTATCTGCCTTTGCGAGCGGAACTCCTCCGTTTCGATGTCGACCGAAAAGCAGGGCGAGAACGCGTCCGTCCGGTATCCTGCGGCGATACTTTCCGTTTTGTAGAAAAACGAGTCGCGTTACTTTGCGAACGCCTGTCAGAACGAATTTATGCACCGACGCCATTTATTTATACCGAACGATGGCCGACCGACCGTTCGGGGTTTTATCGCGACTTCTTTCGGATTTAAATAACCGCAGCTTTGACGTTTAACGGCAAACTTTGTCCGGAGGGTCTGTCGCGGGTTCTCGATAACGCGGACCTACAAGAGCCGACGGTCTCAAGATTTATCTCGCAATTGAATCCTCGCCGATACTCGGCCGTCGCTTTCATGAAAATCAGAGGACACGGGAAGAACCAGCGACACCCAGAAATAGCGTTCGGGATCGTTCCACCCCCCTGACATCGAGTACATAAATCACCATCCTAACGATTTCTAGCTTCATCGAGGGCTTTAAAAATAGCCGATAAAAAATGAAAGCCATCCTGGAAATACTCTCGGACGGCGCCTATCGGCGATTCCTGCTTCTCACCAATAATAACTCGAGGCGCTCGCCGAAGCGGCACAACGTTTTCCCGATTTCGCGCTTACGCAGCGACGGAACGCCGACGGGCTCGGTCCGGAATATGCCTAGCGTTCTCGCGTTCTCGCGTTCTCGCGTTCCGCGCAGAAAGTGGTTTAGCCTACATTCCGCACGGCAAGGATGCGGAACACGCGATCGTAACGACCGAAGAAGCGCATCGTCGCCTTGGCCGGGGTACGTCGAGTTCCCGGACCCGCGGAATTCCGCGCGACATCGTCGACCGAGGCCTCGCTTCCGGATGGAGCCGACGTCCATACAAATGTTCCCCCGTCCGATGCGAATTCCGTCCTTCCACGAATTTCAATGCTAATGCGAACCCGGGTTCGCATCGGCCGCCGAGAGACGTTCTCGCGGCTGCACGTCCGCTCGAGTTTTTTACAAAGTCGTTACGAGATGCGTAATCCTTGGTCGTTACGAGTTCCTGCGAGGACCGAGGGAAGCGTTCCAAATCGTCCCACCGGCTTTGGCTCCGTCGATCCGATTAGGAAAATCGGTAACGCGTAAACCTCGTCGAACGGCAAAAATCGACCCCGTGGAAGCGATTCCTCGTCCGAACCAGAGGTTCGATCGAGGCATTACGGTGGCGACCATTTTCGCTCTCCCTCTCCCACGCACTATCAACGGCAACATCGACTCGGGAAAGTAACGACGCACTCGATCCGCGACGTACGCTTTCCCCTCTCCCCGTTGCCAAAGTCGAGCGGGAAGAGGCTACTTCTTCCTCGGGCAGCTGCTCGTCTCGAGGCGGAGCTCCGCGCCGACCCGGGCGCCGTCGCCTCGACTCGCTCCTCGACTCGCTCCTCGATCGGCAATCCGGAGAGAAAATCCGCAGTGCGGGGCGCATCCGCGAGCGATCGGCTCGGACCTCCGATCCCGGTCCGCGATTCCAAGGAGACTGCCGTCTTTAACTCGAGCGATCCCGATCGGGCCGATCGCGGCGGACTGGGCGATCGCAGGGAGGTCGGCTCGGCCAATCATGAATGAACCGCGGCGTCGGCGGATTCTCGATCGGCGCCTAGCACGGCGGCGCGGCGCCCCACGTGCCGCGTCGGCCGACGAGGGCGGGAAGGTGCTCCTTCTCCCGCGGGAGGGTCCACCTTCCCTCTTCCCGAGGCCGCGTCCGGCCTCACGGCGCCTCCGCCGAGGACGTCGCGGGCCCCGATCTCCCTCGCCTCGTTTTTTGCGACTCCGGCTCCGCTTCCCGGACCCTTACGTAACGCCGCGGCCGATTCGCGCTCGGGTCCCGCCGACCTCTCTTTGTCCCGCGAGTCCTCGTCCGACCCTCCCCGCGTTCGCTCCGTTCCCGGGCCGGAATCTGGAAGGCGGGAGCGCAGGGACCGAAACTGCGGCGCGCGGCTCCTTCTGGCGGGCACGCTCGCCGTCGCGACACTAGTGGCGGTCGCTCTTCTTGTGGTACGCGGCTCGTTCTCTCCCTCTTTCTCTTTTTCTCCTTCTCTCTCCTCGGTCCGCGTCTCTCCTCTCTCTTTCTCTCTCTCTCCCCCGCAGCCGGGACCTAGGTGAGACCAGTTACCTAGGAGCGGACGAGTTTCTCCGAGGCTGCGACTTCTGAAACTTCGGCCGCGAAGCCGTTCCCCGAGGAGGTGGACCCCGGACAAAGGGGGCACCTAGTCCTCTCTCCAAAATTATAGCTATTTATGGTACACCCTAATGGAGAATTCGACGGTCCTACGACGGACGACGGGTTATCTTTCTTTCCCCTATCTCCGATCTCTTCCCGTTACCTCGTCCTCCGCTTTACGAGCGAGATTTCGGTGGGCTCGCTTCTTCGGGAGCGGTCCCCGCTGAAACTCGAACGAGACTTTGATGGGCTAATTTCTTAATTTTCGAGATAACCGGCGCCAGAGGACTCGGGCAGACGTCACCCTCGTCGGTGATTTACGCTTAACGCCGATCAACTTCTTCCACCTCGGGCGAAGGAGCCCTTCGTCCGGACGGGACCAGAGGTCCGGCGCCGCGACGAAGGAGGCATCTGCCGGTCGTTCGGCCGACAGCGGGCCAACGCCGACTCGATGAAACGGTATCGACGCGAGATCAAAGGAAGGAGCAACGGCGTCTCTCCTTGCTCTTCGAGCCACTCTCGCTCTCTCGCTCCCGCAAACGAGGCCTGGGTGGGACTAGTCCCGCAGAAGCGAACTCGTTCTCGCAAAGGCCGTGGGCCCGCGTCTCTCTCCCGCCGCGCCGACTCGAGGCGGCGGTTTAAGGTAAGCATTAAATACGAATGCGAGCGAGAGGGAGATCCTGGAAACGAGGTTACGCGAGGGAAGGAAAGAGAGGGAAAGTCGAGGTGGAATCGAAGATCCGGACAGACCACCTTCTGCCTAACTATTCCAAAATCGGACCGCCGGCCCACGCGGACAAGTACGCGCGCCGAGAGCTGGTCGTGGCCGAGAAATCCTCGAGAAGTCGCCGGGAAGCAGGTGTCCGTTGACGGTGTGGAAATCGTAGGAAGGCGTCGCGACGCGTCCACCTAGCTCGCGGTCTCGGCGAACCGACCTGTCCAGGTTAAGCACCGGAAGGTGATCCGCGATCCGAAGGGGTAGGTGGACGCGTCGACCGACTCCGACGTCTTCGACGGTCCTACCCTCGACGACTTTTGCGTTCTATTTTTAAACCCAACGTTATTTCGCACCGTACCCCGCACCTGGAATTAATTACGCGATGCAGGAGAAGGCGGCAAGGAGGCTTTCGGGAGAGCGAGGAGAACCGCGAAGGGGAACGACGGCCGGAGCGGTACCGGGAGGATGGGAATTTTCAGGAAACGAGATGGAGCCGACTCCACGTTCGGCGAAATCGACGTCGCTTTTTTACACACCGATGGAGAAGGAGGCCGACGTATCGCGGGAGGGCGGAAGACCTCGCCAGCGGGATTTCTCGTTAGGGAACGCGCGGTTTCTTCGCGGGAGCGGAGCTCGCCCGCGAGGTTCGCGGTTATTCGGGCGTCCGGAACCTCCGCGGAACGTTCCACCGTGGAAAGCGCTCGCCATCTTTTGCGCGTCTCGTAATCGTTGGATGCAAGCGTTAAAAGCGAGCACGCGCTCCTCGATGTGGAAGCCGAACGAGATCGATGGCGCGTGATGAATCGGTGTATAAATCACCGGCCGGAGGAGGGAAAGCAAAAGGCGATTCGCAGCGACTCGATTCAATCGATAATGTTAGTTATTGTAAAATCGGTAGATCAGCCCACGCTCGTATGTAATGTGCGTCGAGAAACTCGGTGAAGCTGGCCGGCACTTATTATCACGTAAACCGTCAGTGGGGTAATATATCTTCGGCGAGCACCCAATCTACGGCGTTCTAAATCTGGCGTTAAGTGCATCGCTGCAGATGCAGCGGAACGCTTCTGGTAATGAGAGTAAATACCAGCGCATCGGGAAGTGCCGTTTAC